CGAGGCCGGGGCCGGGCCGCGGCGGGGCGGGAGGGGGAGCCGCACCGAGCAGGGCTGAGCGGTCAGTTCCTACCATCCAGAGCCAACCACACCATTCCCTTCCTGGGTCCTTTTAAGGCACGCTCACCACTCAGCCATACCTCGCACTTTCTGAAGGGACACGTGTTCCTCCAAGGCAAAATGACAACGTTACCAGCGTGAACTGTTGTTGCGTTCTAACAATAAAATCTCCAAAGGTAATTTTACAGGATGGGAAAATCCAGCAATGTAGTGATCATGAGCCAAATGGCAGTTTTGCATAAATTTGCACTCACAAAATAATGGGCAGTAACATCCAGGTATTACAGGCATTTGTAGGGGCTACTTGTGCAAACAAGGGTTTACAGAGTCATAACTATTTTCCTCTTCCTGCTTAATCTAAATATATAGAATTAATTTTCCTACAAATTTTAAAACAGTCGTTCCTAGTGCTGAACTAAAATATTAAATGTAAAAAAAAAAAAAAAAAAGAGTGAATCAACACAAGAAAAAGCAATTGGAAGGTATAAAAAATTTAAATTACCTTAGCCTTAATCCCCGCAACAGCTACAGATTAATTTTTATCTTGATTATCTTGAGCTGATTTTATAACTTTTTCCTGGCAAGAGCTTCTAATATATCAACTGATCTGGTAAAAGAAGCATATTTAGTGAAGATACAGCAGGCAGTGTAACAGTATTTATGTAGTACCTAAAGTAAGGGACCATTTTGCAGAACAATTAAGAGAACTGCAACCTAGAAAATAGCAGCGTAAATGTTATCTGTGCATAGAACATCAATTTGAGGAACAAAACCAGTAAGGATGGAGAAAACAAGGAACATTTTCTTTATCCTTTGTTACTCTGAAAGATACCTATACTGAAAGGAATGGAAGAAACTACAGCATAAAGGCCTAGGCCTTCTACTTCTGTTGAAAGTTGTGTGCTTCTATTTGGAACACCGTTAGCAGTCCAGCTGGTCACACGAGGCTGTGCAACAATCAGGAGAGAAGCTATCTTCCCAACCATACCTGCACCTCTCTTCACGATGGTCTTGCTAAGGCAGGGACATGCACAGCGTGCATCACAAAGAAAAAGTCTGTCTGCTGCAACCCGTCAGATAATTCAAGAGTTCTGTTATGTAATACCAATCACATTGCCTGGGTGATACAGTAGGCTTCATATTGCAAGATTTTTCATGCTGATGGAATACTTTTTCCCCTGTGGGGTTCTATATGCAAACAGCTTGCTGTCCTTAGGGCTGTACCTTTACAATCTTTGCATGGTCTCTGGAACCAGCAACCACTGCTAGACAAGCTCTCTGTTTAGGGGACAAAGGTCCCCTATGCAAACTACCTTGCTAGTGACATATTTAACTCCAGATTCATACATGGGGAAGCTGCCTTGGGGCTACAGACTGTCATAAATTGAAAAAAACCCAAACAAACCACCAAACACCTCCCTCTGCCCTTTCCCCAACCAACAAGCCACAACAGAAAAACAGTTGTGGTATTACTTAAACATTTGTAAATAATGCTTTTGTGCCTCTTACTGTTTAGGATTATAGTTCAAGACTTACATGTGGAATGGAGACACTGAAAGCTATATCCAGGAGTACATTTTGATATGCGTGACTCATTTTTCTGTCAAAATATGCAGCTGAAATTCTGGCAACTCATAGAAGGATGATGTAGGTTCACCTTGCTGGACTCCATGAGATTCCTGTTGGTCTATTTCTCCAGCCTGTCCAGGTCCCTCTGAATGGCAGCATAACCATATCCACTCCCAGTCTGTGCAGGCTGCACTCTGTCTCATCATACCAGTTCGTAATGGAGATGTTTAACAGTACTGGCTCCAGTATGAAACCCCAGGGAGCTCCAACTGGACTGCACGCGGCTGAACACAACCGTCTGGGACTGGCAGTTCAGCCAGTTTTCAACCCACCTCACTGTGCATCCAACATACACACACTTGGTCAGCTTGTCTGTGGGATGTTATCAGAGATGATGTCAAAAACCTTACTAAAGTTGAGACAAACAACATCTACTGCTTGGCCCTCACCCACCAAGCTAGTTGTTTCACTGTAGAAAGCTATCAGGTTAATAAGGCATGATTTCCCCTTTCTAAATCAATGCTGACAACTTCCAACCACCTTCTCGTCCTTAACATGTTGAAACAGTTTCCAGACTATTTTCTCCATCAACCTCCCAGGTTACAATGGAAGCTACAGTCTGGTTTTTTATTTAAAAAAATATATTGTAAATTTAAGACTATCAGTTACACCTCTTAAAAAGAGCCATACTGTGTGAGACCAAAGGTCTAGCTGCCAAAGAACTGGTCTCTGAAAGTTTCAACACTGAATGACCTTGGAAAATATATACAGTTTGGTCAAATGCATAGTAATGCCTCTCCAGAACCATAGAATCATAGAATCACAGAATGGTTTGGGTTGGAAGGGACCTTAAAGATCATCTAGTTCCAACTCCCCTGCCATGGGCAAGGACATCCTCCACTAGACCAGGTTGCTCAAAGCCACATCCAGCCTGGCCTTGAAGACATCCAGGGATGGGGCATCCACAACATCTCTGGGCAATACTCTTCCAGCCTCCAACAGTTTGCAATTCATGGACATCCTATGCCAGAAATGGTGTTTCTGGTAATTCCTCACAGATTTTTCTTCCATTAATTTGTCCAATCAATTTTTAAGCCCATGTAAACCAGTAACATCTACTTCTGTAGTAAGGAATTCCTCAGTGCAACTACATACTGTGTGAAGAACCACTTTCTATAACAAAAAGAAGCAAACTTGTTTTTATCTTATTAAAGATCAGTCATGACTATCTTGGTTGCAAAATGAACCTGAACCTTATCCAATGAAATCTGTGAAAGTTGTGTGGGCTATAAGCTACAGCCTGCAGCTGGCAGCATCTACACCACAAATAATGCCAGAAACCTGTTGGTCAGCTGGCAGGGCATTATGGAATGCAGAGGTGATTGCTGAGAGTCCAGAGGGGAAGCAGGACAAAAACCTGATACAGCTGAATGGTATGATGCACATTTATTAGTCATCACACTAGCGCTCTCTCAAATGGAAACTCCAGGTTTTGCTGTGTCTGGACCCCATTTACTGTTGCATTTCTATTGCAGTGCTATTTTCTTCCTGGCTACCTCTGGCACATACTCTGGACATTGGACTTCTCTCTACTATTCCTCAAAATGAGACTTCCTCATTCAAATTTCAGTATGATTCTGTCAAATGCAAAAGTCAACTACCAAAATAAAAGGAATGTCTCCATCTATTTCAGTCGATTTATCAAAATTTGGGATGCCTGTGTCTGTTCCAACCAGCACTGACAAATGGTTCTACTCATGGTAAATATGAAAAACTCACAATAAAATTCCTAAAGGTCATTTATTTTAAATTCTCATTAACACATACCCTTTTCTGACAAATTAAGAAGTGCTACAAAGGCTCTGAACAGATTATGAATCACTGACCAAAACTGCAAAACACAAGAGGGGAGGCTAACCTGCATTTGCCTTCCTCAGTAAAGTATTCTGTGTCCCTTACATAGAGGCTCCTTTCCAGGAGACTCTTCTTGGAAAGACCTTTACTAATCAAAGAACAATAAGCATGCTGTACTGCTAAACATTCATTCATGTATTTAAAGTGGTACCTATTTTGGAAGTATTGATTGTAAAAGGCAATTCTCTTGTCTCCTTCAAATAAATTTTGATTTACTTTTAAAACTTCTTTTATTTTTTACTTTATACACTGGGGAATCCAGAAATTGTGTATCTGTAAATTGATCACCACGCCTTAATTTGCTGTAAACAAAAGAAATAAAAGACATCATGTATGAATATCACCAAGCACCTATGTAACCATAATTATTATAATTATGTAATTATAATAACAACCCCAAATGCTAAATAATCCCAGTGAAAGCTTGATACACTGAAGACATTAAATTTATGGAAAATAAATATGTCTGCAACAGTAAGGCATAGATAACTACTGTTTTCAAAAGCAATGCTAAAACCAGTAGACTTGTCATGTGGCTGGTATCATATTAATATGGGAGTAATCATAACTTATTCCTCTAAGACAAAACTCAAATTATTTAAACCAAAAGCTTAACAGCATCCATTTAGGACAGGATACTTGAAAATAAAATATAAATAGGAGACAGTAATCTAAAGTCTTGAGTGATGTCCACATTTTTTTCTGTTAGTAGCTAGTGTCTCCTGAAATACAGAACCTTATCATTGTGGGGTAAAAGATGAGCATGTGTCAATATCATAATATCACAGCATTTTAGCATCCAGTTAATTGGTAAAAGCAAATCTAACTCCAACCCCTTTGCACTTCTTCTACAAGCTATCTGGCATAAGTATTTTTGAACAGCCAGTGGTAAAGCAAAAAGGCACTTCCTACGTTACTTTTAGCCCGTTTGTCCTCAGTCTCATCACTTCAATTAATTGTTTGCTTAGTTACAGAGGTAAACAAAAATATTTTGAGGCTGTATGAGAACATTGTGGTTTTTTCAGTTTGTGGATTTATTTTCTTCTCCTCACACAGTTTTGCCGGAAAAGGAAGACACACTCCTTTTACACTGTCATAAGGGAAGGTGCTATAATCCTTTCACTCTCAACATTATTACAGGGAAATCTGGATACTGTCTTTACCTCATAAATACGCATTCTACTGATATACACACAGCAGCATAATTTCCCTTAAATCTATATTATACTTAAAAAAGCCAAAACCAAACAAAACCCCCCAACCAACTTTGTGGCAAGAAACTCTCAGAGTATTTTCGGAAGTAATCAACTTAAAGGTCCATTGGGATTTAGATCTATTCATGTAGGTGCAAATCTATTTGTTTTCTTAATGGACGGTCAGCTTCAAAACCCTCCTTTAAATTTTAATAGTTATTACACAATTTGTGTCTTGCCTTTTAACAATCTCGGAAATCCTGTGCCATTAAATTTGCTAAGACTACAAAGGTAAGTAACTAATTATCAAATTAACATATCTTAAACTCAAATGATTTCTTGTATTAGATACAGCTAGTTAAATCAAGATTACTGAATTATATGTGAGTGTGTAAACTATATTGCCACTTGACAATATTACAAGGATGTTGTTGTAAGTTTACATTTAATTATAACATTATTTGTGAGAGACAGTTCAACTTTTCGTTTGGGGGTTTTAACAGCAAATCTTTACTGGAGATAGCTACATACCCCAAAAACCAAACAAAAGCCCCAATTTACGTATACCTACCTGTTTAGTTTGGGTTCTTTGTAGCAAATAGTGGCTCTTCCTCGTCTAGATGGTGCTGCTGAGATTTCTTCTAAAGTTTTGGGGGATTTAGATGAGGAAGTGTGAGATCGTATACTAATATTTGTCAGATCTTGCAAAGACTTTCTCCCTGTGAATACAGTAGTTTATATGCCTCATTTTAAATATTTTCTAAATCATGAAGTAAACTTTCAATTCAGATTTATTTTAATTAGCATTTCTTAATTCATGTACTTTGGTTGCTGCTCTTACTCTAAAGATGCTCAAGAAATGCAATAGATGGTCAAAGAAAATGCCACTACAGCAGCTTTCAATCTATCCAAATTTGGAGCTGTCTGAAGTCTGCCATGGCTTTTGCGACATTTTAAGAAAGCCCCATAAGCACTGTAAGTTGCAACTGGCTGACTAAAGACTCCCAGGAGTTACCATATTTAAGACGTAAAACTGCACACAGCGCCTGGCCTTGAATGCAGGGGGTGGGCATACACGTGTAATCTCAACATTCAACCTGTGCACGAGTTCTCTAGTTCTGCACTTTCTAACTCTGTGTCTGCTCCTTGGGCATACGCATATAAAATGAGCGTAACAAGGTGAGCCTCCTCATCTCAAAACTGCATACTACCTATTTAAAATGCCACATTTTGAACCACTGAACATGTCCATAAAAAATGTAACCAGCCTTGGTGCCAGCCTTCTGTAATCCTTAAAGACCAACTCAGAATGCTAGACTAAACAATCAATATTTAATTTGGAGACAAATATTTTGATAACTTGGGAGAAATACTGAGATTATTTAGTCCCCATTTCAAAAATCTGTATTTATATTGTCCTTCTGAAAAGCACTAACACAATGCAGACAGCAATACAAGATGACATAAATAATCTGTATTCCTTAGAAGCCCTTGCAAGAGTGTACATTCCTCATTGATACAGGTCAAGTTTTAGATTTTCTGCAACCAGATGAGAACATTGGGAATATAGTTTCTTCGAGGGAACTGAATTTAAAACTCTTTATCTTCACTTCTTGAGTTGGAACACTTTACCTTAAATCCTCTATGGCAGCAAGTGGATGTTACTGATGTCACAGAGGAAATTAATATGCATAGGGGATAAATAATTAATTTTTTCTTGTGCCTATCGTAAGACTAATACATTATATTACTGTATATTTACACACCTGCCAAAATAAGTGAAAGCTTTCTGTCTTTATTATAGCATCCGCATGCCACGTACAGTCTAGCACACAACTCTTAACTGACGGTGAAGCTGACAGGGCTGCATTACTATTGCCCTGTAGTAGAACACTGGGCTGAGGGCAAACCAAATACCTCAGTGGGTAAAACCAGTCATTTCACTAATAGCCTTCAGAAACACGTTAAGCAGAGACAAAGTCAGAGGTTCTTCTTTGGAACTTCACTTCTGAGAGATATTTTAAGGCGACTTTGGGCTGCTTGCAGCAAATCCCTCTTGATTTACAAAGGCAAAAGAAAAAGCATGGTCTTTTGAAGGAGTTCATTAAGGAAGAGCAGTGCTTATGTAGTTTAAAAGAGAGGGCTCTCTGATACTCTCTGATAATGAAAAACCTCCTGAGTTTGGCTGCCTCACAAATCAATCTTGATTTGTACTAGTTTTAAAGTAAAAATAAACTGTCATTCCAAGCTTTTCCTAAAATGTTAAGGTTAGAGATCAGGTCAGCTGCCTTTTAAGCTGTAAGAGTTTTGAGACGTCTATGGGGTTGCATTCTTTAGGAAAACTGGGTAGCTTTGAGTATGAATATTTATGTTCACATAGATCTAACTTTATAGAGACTTTGATTACGGGAGCCTTTCAAGGTGTAATTCTAAGTACAGCTCAAGGTAGTGATCAGAAGAGCTGGCATCATCAGAGAGAATGGCATTTCCTTGCTATCTCTAAATTCAAGATATGGATTTGGGTAAAAAAGGGATACTGTTTTTTGAACTATGCTTAAATGAATGAAGATCTAATTATCTGTTTGCCTTTTGTGGCAGTAGTATTTGATACTGGTGAACACAAGGGTTTATTAATTTATCATTAAAGCTAATGAAACTATGGGATCCTTTTTCTACCTTCCAAAGAAGGAACTGAGGATGAGAAGATGCAACTGCAAATTACCAGAACTAATACCTCACACAATGGACTGATTCTGCCAGTACTCCTACTCTGTGGTCATATAAAATAGGAGGTTTTTTGGCCATTGTGTCCTAGGATTCAAATGAACCTATTTGATCGATAGGTTGGGATTCAAACTCTTAATTTGAGCTAGGAAACTGTCTAGATGTTGGAGCATTCTTAGTGACAATGAAATAAATAAGAACTTGCTGAGAATAAGTATGCTTACAAAATAGACCGCCCATGCTACGGAACTTCAAAGCTACATTTTAAACGTATTTAAACAGTAGCATAGGCATGTTAGTCATTCCTTTAGCTCCTTTACCGTAATTCTGCTGTGTGATCGAAGAATCTAAACCTATCTTCCAGACTACACTAAAATTTGGTTGTTTTCTTAACTTAAGATATCTTACTTAAAAAGAGGTTGTCACGTGAAAGTTTGCTCAAGGGCACATTCTAGAGAAAACCTGCTCAAAATGAATTTTTAGATCTCAGAATTCCTGCAAAAAAAATTCTAAAGAAATACAAATGAAATCTGTAAGACCAGCTATGTTCTCCATTTATGAAAGGAACATCACAGTTTACTCTTATTTCCTTTATATAAAAGCTCAAGCTATTGTATCTTTTCTATCCCAAATTTTCTGAATTCCACCACATTCTTTGAAAAATGCAGACATGCTCCAGCTATAATTACCTCAAGAATGTAGGCTACATACATCTGCTCAATTAAATGCCACCTTGGAATATACTGGAAAGTAACAAGGATATTAGTTACCACAATTAAAAAAAAGATATTGTGACTGATATAGGATATATAATATGGATAATTTTAGCGATTTTCAGCCTTACCTTTTCCCTCCTCTTTTATCTACTCAAAGCAAGCAGTAAGAGTAAGGCAGTATTAAGAGAAGACACCTTACCACTGTTTCAGACACTATCTAATTCAAAAGGCCATGTTTTTTCTCACCCATACACTTACCATGACAAGGTGTAAGAGTCTCTTTGTAAATCTCTTTAGAAATACGATCCAGCTTTAGTCCTGCTTTTCCTGCATCCAGTGCTTCATTATGAACACCTTGCCCACAGATTTCAGAGTTCACGGAAGCACTGTGGTTATGAAGAGCTGGGAGCTCCACACTGAAAACACCTTCCTGGAAAAGGCTATTTACATTTAATGTCATATTCTTAGAACGTTTGATAGGTAAGGATTTTAAAAATTCTGATTTTTTAACTGTAGCCTTTAACTTGCTCATAGAGGAATCTCTCTTATGATGGACTTCCTGGTTATCCAAAATATTGTGCCCCCCCTGATCAATTTGCCTGAAATAACTTTGGTCTGGTCTGGTCTCAGTAATATCAGAACTAAACCTCTGTTTGTGCGTTACCTGATTATCAGGAGGATTACTAGCGTGAGGGGTTTTAGGTGCCACTGATGAGGAATCTACAGCAGCAGCAGCATCAACTTGTTCTTCAGCTTGTGGTGTATTCACAGCTACACCGCTCTGAGTAACTAAAGCTACTTGCATATGCTGAGTTTCAGTTATTTGATTTCCACAAACAGCCTCTGCATGCAATCCACCTTTATTTTTTAATTCTTCTTTTTTACCTAGTGAGAACTGTGTAAGATTTTCTTTCGGTATGACACATGCTTTCTGGCTAGCCTTTGCCAATGTATGTTTTAATCTGCCTGGAGAAAAATGGCTACTCTTTTGGTTTACTTTCTGAGTAACTGTATGAATGTTGTCACTCCCAGTTTCTCCCTTTTGTCCAAAACTACTTTTTTTGTTGTATTTTCTCTTTATAATATGCTTGTGGTCTTGCTTTCTCTTGCTGTCATGCTGGCATAGCTCTGTTTGAGAGGTTTTTGAAATATATTCTCCATACTTCCCACTCTCCTCTCTACAGGATTTTGTGGTGTCTATTTTCAAAGAGTTTTGCAAAGCGCTCCTGTTTATTTTTGGTCTGCTATGTTTCTCATGTGTATGCAGAAAGTCCCCCTGTGAAGGCAATGCATTAGAAATGTTGTCCTGGAATGGCAGGTTTTCAGCACAATGAACTTCTGGTGGGATCTTGTTAATAGATGAGCTTGAGTCTGGTGGTTGTATTTTGCCTTCCACATCTTCAAATGTTCCTGAGAAAGTTTCCTTACTTGCCTCTTGTTTTCTTGGACTCGTTAACTTAACCTGGTACGTCTTCCTAGTATCTTCAGCTTTACTGGGACAATTCTGTGCTTGATAATATTTGCTGGTATTTAGCAAACTCTGTTTCCCTACAAGTAGCTGTTCTGTCTGGCTTTGAAATAGTTGAGTTGCTGAGTCAGTAGTTTTTGAAACTTCACTGTCATCAACCTTGATGTGCCTTTCTTCTGCATACAAACTTGGACTGACCTCAGTCTTGCTTTTAATTTTCTCTTTATCCTTCTTAGAATATTTTACTTTTCTGAAATTTACTAATATTTTATCAGAATTGCCATTAATATTTTTATTTTGATGTAATTTATCTTTGTCTTTCACTGTAACTGCGAGTAGCTCACCTGCATCACTAGTGGTCAGCTCCATATCAGCATCATAAACAGTTTCTTCAGGCTTCATTTTGTCAGCAGAAAGCAGCTTCCTAAAATCTATCTTCCTTTCATTGCTAAATTTAAGAGGTGAAGGAATAATGCAAGACAAGCCACTTGAACTTTCCTGCAAATTCATGTCATTGGTGTTGCTGTCGCTGCTGTTGATACCATGATGAGGCAGATTATTTAAGCAACATTTTTTATTGAAATCCTTCATATTAGGTTGAGTTTTTGACTTGTGAAGTACTGCATGTTTCTTTCTTTCAGTCACATTTCCATAGAATGACAATGAACCGTCTTTATATTGTTTTGTAAGCTCCTCAGAGGGTCTTAAGGACTGCCTATTTTTGACATGAGTCAGGAAGGCGCTATCACAACTTAGCTCTGTGGATAATTGATTTTCTGCAAAGAGAAAAATTTCAGCAGCTTGGAGAAAGAATGAATAGAGTATAGTTATCAGAATAAGACAGATTTTTGAGGCTGGACCAGAAGCATGGAAAATTACAAACTGCGTTTTTTTTTAAAAACCAACCAACCAAAAACCAAACAAAAACTGAATACACATTCTGTGGTTGGTCCTTAAAAATTTAGTTAAGTAGAACTAATTTAATATTTGACCAAAGTTGGACTTTTGAAAATGGGTATAAATATAAATGTATTTTTTATAATTTCTTCAGTTAATGTTTGGTTGTCTTATCAATGTTTTATTCCGTTCACATTAATTTTGTCACATTTCAGCTGTGTTATTTCAATGAACATGATTCTACAAGTGATTGTCAGGACACCTATACTTACGGGTGAGCATTCTATTTGTTATTAGTTTATTACAGTTTAGGAATCTCACTATACCTTCTGTATTGCACATCAAGCAATTATCAAACACTAATTCTCAGATAGCTCTTACAGATAAGTCACCTGTACAGAAATCTATCATACCTTTTAAGAACATATTTTGGTCAACAGTTGTCTCTACTGGGTCTATTTCAATTAACTTTTGATTATTTGTACCAGAAGACAATGGTAATGGAAACCAGACTTGATCAGAATGCGTTTCCTTTGACAAAGTAGTGGTAGGCTTCGAAGGATTTGGTATTTCACACAGAGAAGGGCTATCTTGCAGTTTTGCGTTAGCTGTTGCAATTAAAGGAAGCTTCACTGGCAATTCTGCAGATCTGAAACGAGGAAATTTTACTGTGAAGATTTTTATTACATTTTATGTCATAATATTCAACTGTTTAAAACATTCCCGTAGTAATGCATAAAAGCAGAAAACAAGAACTCCGGTATGAAATCTGGTTCTATCATAGTGGCAAATGTATTTATGGTAGAGAATCCTGCTTTGGCTGCTGAGATCCCATGAAGAAAGCAGCAGGTTATTCAAACACAAGCTTTGCCTACCACTCTACAGATATATAGATTCCAAGTTGTAAATACGTAATTTCTCAGTTAGCCAGGAAATAGTTTCTCATTACATGAAAAATACCTAGGACAACACACAAAGATGAGTTGTAAAAAAATCCACAGACACTTATCCTGTTCTAAATTTCACATAAGCACCTACCTAGCAGACTGATGTGCACTCCTGAACTGGCCATCAGTAGGGCTACTTGGACCAGCTGACAGAGGAAAAGAACCCTGAAGATTCTTTCAAAAAAAGAACAGTGGGGAAGCAGAAACAGTTGAATAGTCTCTTAGGTTTTAAGTGTCAGAAATATCCACAGGAAAAAAAAAAGTAAAACTGGGCAAAACCCCAGAAGTACTGATGAAAGGTGCATGATACTCAAACGCAATAATTTTAAAGAAAAATATTTTGTAGCAAAACTTACCAAAATCTGTAATTTGCATCCCAAAACAATGTATAGACTTTTAAAATGTAAACATAACTAATGCAAAGTGAATTATGGATACAGAAGCACAGAGCAAAACTAAGCAACTGTTCAGAACAGGTAATAAAAATATTATTTTCAAAAATTAAGTGTAAATTTGCCCTCACACAAGGACTAACATGGACTATGTTTTCTCGTAAAGTTTCCACATGCAGGGTATTTATTGCAACACTAAACAAGATAGGCAAGTAGCTTGCTCATTGGTGAAGAATATCACATACTAAAGTATTAGGCTTTTGGGGTTTTTTAACAAGATGACTTCATCAGGGCTAACTGATCTTTAACTTTCAGACACCCTGTAAACAAGATTAAATGCTAAATCTTTAGTGCAAGCAACAGCAAACTTTCGCTGATTTCATTTGACTGGGTTTCATCCCAAGTTTTAAGGAAATGGGGCAAATGTTGAAATCACACATGCATTCATTTAGATGCTCTGAAAATATTATCCTGCAAAATTAGTTCAGCATGGTAATAGTTCAAAAAACATCTTACCTCAGAAAGACTGCTTATTTCTATTGCAGTTAAGAGGTTATAATTCAAAAATGCTTCTATTTCTATGAGAGTTTTATTCTGCGTGTAAAGGAAAAATTAGTTTTAAAAGACATATCTCAAGTGGCTTCCAGCTTAAGAAAAGACAGGCTATAAAGGTGAATCTATGTTGGTTTGTTGGGTTTTTTTAACATCTCAATACCTATAACGTTGAAGCTGACACTAAAATAGCAAGTACAAAAACCTATGAAAGAAAAATCAAACGTGAATACTACGCTATCAGATGATACAACTTCACAAATCTGAGACATATATTTTAAATCACCATTTTAAGAAGCAATACTAACTTTCAAACAAAAAAAAAAGATAAAAGCTTGGTTTAGCTGATCTAATCTTAAATGATATTATTTGCAGCATACCAAACAGTTGAGTTTTTGACGAAGCAAGATATTATGAAGCTGCAGCTTTTCTACTTCCTTCTGAAGAAAAATCTTCTCATTCTTTAGCTTCCGAGAATTTTCTTTCTCCACACTCAGAGCCACAGCTAATGCTTTATTATTTTGTTTTAAAGATACTTTAAACATAGATGAGTTATCTAAAGGAGACAATCATATTATTTTCATCAGCTTCAATTCCAGGCCCACTCTGCATGAACTATCACTCTGTAACATTAGGATCTGTAGCTTTTGGTGGAACAATGGCACAGACTAACACTTCGTAACATAAAATTGTTCCTGTTGGCTGTCATTCTGACAACTACTGTCAGCTTCATGTTCAAGTTCATTTAATGCACAGATTCTGCTCCACTCTGGATTTGTCTTTAAATAAGGTTATTTTAAGAAGGCGGCATTTAAAAATGGGTAGTTACACAGGCATTAAATTGCTTCCACACACTTCTAAAATAACAAATACACATTTTACAAATTAAAAAGTTCAAATATTTTTAGCATAAATGTGAGTTTTGACAACAAAGAAGAGAGCTTTAGATTAGCAATACGCATTCCACTGTCCTAATGAAAACTTGCCTACTCATATCTGTCTCAGAATGTTTTAGGAACTTAACTTCATTTTTTTTTTTCCAATAACACTGCATATTACCAAGATGATTTTTTTCCCTCACGTTCATAGCATACACAGAGCTGACTAGACCTCAAGGTAGAGACAAGTCTGACCATAAAGGAGCAAGGTTAGCTTGAAATCTGCTTCAACTACATCTCTTCGTTGCCTTACATTATTGCTTCTGTGATCAGCAATCCAAAATTTGCAAGACCTTATTTTGTTGCTTTGGGTAACAGGCCACAACAGTGGAACCTTGTTAATCCAAACATTATGCTTTGAAATTACTGTTCAGCTTAGTGAATTATTTGTATTACTGCAGTGTAGAGCTTTCTAAAGGACACTAGTATGTCAGTATACTGTTTATTTTCTCACTGAAATTAGTATTTTTTCCATAAAGCCACACTAAATTCAAAAATATACATATGTACAGACAACAACAAAAGTATATACACAAATAAAAACTCTTGCAGCACCAATCACAGAAAGAGAAGCAGAACTCAACATTCACTTAACCATGCTGCTTGAATTACAGAGCTCTGAAAAGTGTAGTTTCACTACATTCATTGTTTCCTTATCTTTTGCAGAACAGGATCTGAGACGTTCCATAGTTTTGTTTTTGTAAGAGCCAGAAACAAAACCCAACCATAGAATCACTTAGGTTGGAAAAGACCTTTAAGATCAAGTCTAACCATTAACAAAAACTCTGCCAACGCCACCACTAAACCATGTCCCTAAGTGCCTCATCCACACATCTTATAAATACCTCCAGGGATGGTGACTCCACCACTTCCCAGGGCAGCCAGTTCCGATGCTTCACAACCCTTTCAGTGGAGGCATTTCTCCTAATTTCCAATGTAAACCTTCCCTGGCACAACTTGAGGGCATTTCCGCTTTCCTATCACTTGCTACTGGGGAGAAGAGACCAACACCCATCTGACTACAGCCTCCTTTCAGGTAGTTATAGAAAGCAATAAGGTCTGCCCTGAGCCTTCTTTCCCTCCAGACTAAACAACATCAGTTCCCTCAGCCACTCCTCTAAGACCTGTTCTCCAGGCCCATCATGACAAACCTATGTTTGAATTTAATCGTGACTCACTGAGGTAAAAAAAAGAGTACCTTCTGTCAAGTGATTAAATCAGCAAATTAATATTTGTAATTTTCTTTGATTCCATTAATACCTTAAAGAAGAATTTTGTATAAATCCCATTTTGCAAATGGGAATGCTAGATAATTTAATATGCAAACTATATTTTAAGAGGTCACTGATTTTACTTATGTTGGTACCTCAGTGTATAGATGCCCCAGACAGACCATGACACAGATGTTAGAAAGGCACTTGAGTACACCTTTTTAAAAAACAGTGGCATGTGAAAGAGCAAGCACTGAAAATACTCAGAGAATTACATAAACAGCTTACAATTGTGTTAAAACTTTCAGACTCTCATAAAATTCTCAACATGCCACATTAATATTTTTAACAGGCAGCAAATCACGTTAAATACAATTACTATTCCTTTTGAAGTCATACATTCTTCAGTATGTACGGTACGTGGCTTCAGTTGTATTTTAACAGGACTTACTTATTAATTTAGTTTTGATTTTAGATGCCAGAGAAGCATTCCAATTTGCAGTTTGTAATGTTCCATCCCTCCTCTTCTTGTGTCCTTTAACGGCATCCGAGGTGAGAATGGTAGAGGATTTAGCAGCTGCTTGTTTGTGCATCATCAAAAGGAACCTGTACATTACCAAAAGGAATGCCCAAGTTACCACATGATTTTTCTCACTCTTTTTTAAATTAAGTTTCCTTACCTCTCATCCGGATTTGTTATCTGTGAAGGCGGGAAAATTGCTTCAGTCTTTACCTTTGTTCAATTTATTCAAACAAGTTAAGGAATCCTTCCCTAAGACTTAAGTCACATTATAAGAGAGCGGCAAAATATTTCACTAAAGAACTTTAAGTCTGAAAGATCACAGGTTGTTAATCTTGCCCATCCCAGTAAGCTACATCCACGTTGACACTTAAAGGGAAAAACCACCGAGGTTCTATCACTTCACGATGCGATCAGACCAGCTTTTGCTTTGTCAGAACAAACTTTAGATGGAAGCATTTAAATAGACCGCATTGTAACTGTCGCAGATTTAAACAGCGAGAGAGACCGGCCCGCAAGCAGAGGTAGAGAGGGAGCGGCGTCCCAGCAAACCGCTTCGAGGGGGCAGGTCTGGCCGCCACCCGCCCCTCGGGCCCCTCACGCCTCAGGGGCGGGAGGCAGAAAGCGCGCGCCCGTTCCCGCCTCT